TGTTTGAGAATTTTCGAGAATTTATGAGAACTTTGAAGAAGGTTGCAAAAGCACCTATAAATTCGGCTTTTTGATGTAGGGCTTGTAAAAATGTCTATTAATAATAAAGTTTCACTAAATTTCCCTATTTTTCTTTTCTCTGGTAGGGGTAGGTGAATTTTCCATGAATGTAGATATAACCCTTGTCTATGTATTATTAATTTATTGTAAAGAAAATGATAATATTTATAAAACTAATACAAGTCTTGTTTCTTGTAAGTTGGTGTAATAAAAAACTAACCCAAACTAAAAAACAACGTATGCAAATACCTACATAACATAACGACATAAAGTGTTAAGTCAAAACAAAAAATAATATAAAAAAATAAATTTGAAAATAAAAATAGGAACTCTAGAAAAAGGAAGTTATAAAAAGAACTTTCTGTAGGTAATGGTATATAATAACACAAGTAGTTATTAAATCAAGAAATATTACTAAAAATATTCAGAAATCAGGGTCCATGTCCATGAATAGTCAAATCAAACGATTAGGTAACGTTTAGAAATGCATTTTCAGCGAACTTTCGCTTAGAGAGGAGCGAACATTACCGTAAATTACGGTAATAGTGCGAACGTTCGCTCGGTAAAGTTCGCTTGTTACAACACTAGTAGGCCTAAAATATTTAATGACCTACCAGGTAAATCTCGAGGTAAATTTGAAACGCAAAACTATTTCATTTTTTTCATAAATAACTTTAAGATTAAATTATTTGATCTAGATAGCCTTTGGTTTAAACTTCAGTGCTTTCGGTCATGGTTTTTTTGTTTGTCTGCTTTTTCCTTCTCAACATGCATACCTCATGCTGAACATAATCAGTGAACCAACTGCTCATTTTTGTGATAGGTAACCTACCTCAAATAGTATTAAACTTGCAATGAAATGGTTGGATACTACCGAGGATACTACTGATAAATAAATAAAATAAATAAATAAATAAATAAATAAAGGACAATCGGGTTTTTGGGAGGAACATTCTTGTGAATCGGCACTGCAATATTTGTGTTCAAATCGGCGGTCTTGCATACACGATGGAAATATTACTGTCCTAGTGTGTTTTCTGATCTCCAACATGCGTTTGAGACAATAGATAGAGGGAGACTCTTCAAAAACTAAAGACTTATGGAATCATAGACAGTGCATTGCTATGATTGAATCTAAGCATTAGAATGACTTGTTGACTATTTATTAAGATGATCGATCTCATGTTACCAGGGTGAATGGTGACCTGGTGAAGTATTGGGCAGAATCGATAGTGACATTGGAGTGCCCCAAGGAAGCATTTTGCAACCTCTTCTGTTTCTGTTTTATATAAATGACCTTGACAAAAACTCATTTGTGAGTCTGTTTGCTGATAACACGTTGATCTGTGTGTATGGCAAGAATTTTGGTGAGATAGTGACATATTATATGGACGTGCTCCTGAATACCTTATAAACAAAATAGTTTACAACAATGAAGTGCATAACTATAATACCAGAAATAGAAATAATTTTTTCATAACTCCAAAGAGTAAAAAATGTACAATGAATTCAATTTTTCATAAAGGATTTAACGAGTTTAATAACCTACCAGAAGAGATAAAAAACTGCACTTCATTGTTGAGTTTCAAGAAAAAACTAAAAATTTATATGCTAGGTAATTGTGATATACTGGATGGTTGATCTTGTGATAACTTTTAAATTATTGTGTATCGTTTGTGATTATTAAGTTTTGTTCTGTTGGTTTACCTATTTTATGGATTATTTATTATTTTGCATTTTATTTTTTACTTACTTTTCATATACTTATATTGTATATATTTTGTACTATTGTAAACTAGCAATTTTTATGCTAAATAAAGGATTTAATAATAATAATTTAAATTCTGAACTGGATATGCTGTTTAATTGGTTATGTGTGAATATACCTAGCAATGGCATACCTAGTATAGTCATATTCACGATAGAGTTTGAATTTTGACAGTTATTTTCACCAGTTGAAAATAAATAAAATCCCCAGATCTGTCCCTTTTTCTGACAACTATCAAATAATGATACAGGACATTTTGATTTGACACATAAAAATATCAGATTCGGGTCTTTTAATTTTGAATTTCGAATTCTTGTGTGAAATCGTTCAGTTTTTTGCCGTTTTCTGCATTATTTTTTTATTTGTTATTATCGCAAACGGTTTTTTGGTTTTTTATGTAGTGTTCTGTGCCTTTGTGTTTCGGTGTTGCGTTTCAAACCTGGTTTTAGTTTGGATTTAAGTGTTTACTCTTTTTATAAGTGTTTACTCTTTTTATAAGTGTTTACTTTGGAATCTAATTTTAGGATTTTTGGATTTTAATAACTTAACTTCCTTTAAAAAAATTGAAAATAAATTTTTATTCTAAAATGTCTATCACTTTTCTAAATACGACCCTGTCGTTTATTCCAGCTGACGGAATCGAAGCGCTAACGCATGCTGGCAACCTAAAGAAAAAGTTTACTAGAAATGTCAACGCGAACTGTCAACTTCACTTTCTATCGCGATTTCAACTATAATAAGTACTAGTACCAAGTAGTACCTAGTAATAAAACAAAATATATGGTTTTTGGTAGCAAACTTAACTCTGATAGATTCTTAGAAAATAATAATGTGTAAGATTGATAATTGTGCAATTGAAATAACATCTGAAATGAAGTACTTGGGTGTGATCGAGGGGTGTTTCACGATCGGCATTGGTGTACAAATTTACGGCAATAATTACGGCAGTGAGAGTAATGATTTAGGAATTGTGGGCATTGAATAGATAAATAAGGGAAATTGAGGCAATGATCGCGGAATTGACGGCATTGAATTGATTTCAGAATTGACGGGATTAATGTCAGAATTGACGGCATTGATGTCAGAATTGACGGAATTGATGGCATTGTGTTGGAATTGACGGCATTGATGTTGGCATATTTGACATTGATGCCAACAATGGCATTGACAGAAATGTTCGCAGCAATCGCCATAGGCGATTAGGCAGTGTTATCAAACATTGCCTAACTTAGGCAGTGGTGTACACATTTTTGGGTAGGTGAAACACCCCTCGGGTGTGATTTTTGATAGCCAACTGAATTTTTCAGCACATGTAGATTGTCTATTTATTTATTTATTTATTTATTACAGTCCTTGGGATACAAACAGAACATAATTCCAAAAATAGTATCCCGATATTACTAAAGTAATATCTATACTTTGCTTAAAAAAAAAATATATATATATAATATATAAAAATTTTATATAAGTAATCACAAGTTATATATCACATTGGTATATGTAGAGGTCTTCGTTGTTCTAATCTAAAAACTTAGGTAAGATTTAATTATTCAATAAATCACAAATAAAATATCACACTAGAGTTCATTCTAGAAACTTAAGTTTTAGGTTTTTTTTAAAAGTTAACAATTTTGTAGCAAATAAGTCCAAATTAGAAGTAGTACAATGTAAATTAACAGCCTTAAGCATCCTGACTAAAGGTGCGTTTTGGTAATAGTTAGTTCTACAATAAGGAATGCAAAACAGATCATGATTTCGAAGTGTTCGAGCAGGTACATTGAATTTAATTTTAGAGAGAATACTCGGGGAGTCAGATAAGTTATTAATTATTTTAAATATTGTCATGATATCTGATATAGTTCGCCTTTTTTCTAATTCAAGAATTTTGAAATGTGATCTAGCCATTGAATAATCATGATCTACAATACGGAAGTGGGTTTTAAAACATAAAAATCTTAGAAATTTGTTTTGAATTTTTTCCAATGTCGATTACATTTGTAAAAAAATAGGGATAAAGGTAGGAATTTTCAGAAAGGTAGCTAGAGATCTTAGCCACTGGAGTCATCTCCTTGTATTTAACACAATTAAGTATTCACTCACATATTAGCTATTGTATACCGCTTCTAATTTCATGTAATAAAGCAGACTTTTGAAACACATACTGTGAATAAAAAGATATGTGGCATATGTTTGAAGTATTTTAGACTCGATTTTAGAGTACTGTTCAGTGGTATGAAATATATGCTGTACCTAAAAACTATACCTAAATATGACCTAGAAAAGGTACAAAACAATTTTTTGAGATACATACATTACAAAGAAAGTGGTGAGTATAAGTTGCATAATATTACGCATTACCCAGGATAGATATAATGAAAATTTACAATCTAAAATCTTTGTAAATTCAGATAAAAACTGCTTCCTCGACTGCTTCCTTTAGTTAAATTGGTTAATAATTTTATTGCAGATACTGATCTGATAATATAGAAAATACTCGAACAAATTATGTGTAAACTTTATAACCAATAGGTATAGAGACGACTGTGATATTTTTAACCTAGGATTAGGAAACTTTAAGAGGAGAGTTAATAAAATTGAGATGTGAGAGATATCAGTTAAATTCAGGGTTAAATGTAACAAAGTAAACCAGGTACCATAAGTATGCTAGTTACTAACACCTAACTGGATGTATGTACCTAAATCTGTTGAGTTTTTAAATAAATAAATAACATGCAGATGAAAGTTTTTTTATTCAACATTCAACTGTAATATATTTTCAGAACAGAGTAATATGTAGGCCCAGAAACTTTTCCTAATGGTCTATATCCGAGTCTATATCTATCAATAATGTTGTCCAGTAAAGATAGGTACATCTGGAATGGTGCATTTGAATCTAGGAATGCTGGATTTATTAACATTAAAAACCAGGCAGTTAGAATCACACCACTGTTTGACCAATTCTCTGTTGAGACCTTGTTATTCAGTGCTGTTGGCAAACAATGTGAAACGACCACTAATTCAATAGATACAAGATAATAGTAACAGAAAGGATAACAGTTAAGCAAAGTGACCTCAAATTTAAGGAAACATGGCAAATTGATTTATCCACAATGATGGATTTGTTTTGGTAAAATAGAAAAAAGAACCACAATAGAATGTAATATTTGCTCACCTGTGTGATTTCCACAGAGGGATCCTTCCCTTGCACCTGACAAATTTTCTCCCAAATCTCATCGCAGCCCAGTTTCTCTTGAAAACTAAGAGCCAAGTCAAAATTATCACCTTCGGACCAAACAATTAATGTGTCCTGTTGTTTCTGGTAGGCAGTGTCTGGTTGTATTTTAGATTCTAGCAATAATGAGCCATCACTTTCTGCTCGCACCAACAACGAAATGCCTTTCAACCGGTCAACGTAAGAAGAAGAGACGTGCCCCGTGCCCCTATCGTCCCATTGCCGATCTGCGTTTAGTGCATACAACTTCACTCGTCGTCTTGTATCAGTCATGACTGGAATTTTCTTTAATCTTTTTCAATGTTCTGGCAAATTTCCCACATTCCGCCTGCAAGAAAAACACCAAAAAGTGACATAATGTAAGCAACAAGGTAATCACCCAAAACAAAACACTAAAACTCACCTTTAAAATTAATAATGTACCAGAATTACCGGCTTCTCTAGATTGCTGGGGCACTAATACACCGAATAAATACTCTTAAAAATTACCAAGAACCAGGTGAATTCAATAGTGGGTTAATAATCACAATCACAACCTTTGTGTACAAAACTTTCCTACACTTGCATTAAAAAGCTATTCCCTAGTTATGAAACTGGCCGTATATCATATCCAACGCTTCAATTAACAAAAAAACACCCTAACGTGCAATTTAATTAACCTAATAATTAAGGAAATTCGTTTTATTTTTACTTTCAACAGACACAACACATAAATGTTATCGCCATATTGAATTCACAACAACGCTCGCAAGATGGAGTTCACAACAAGAACAAGGACAGACGCGTGGCAACTGCGCATACTTTAGCGCTAAATTTGAATTGCATTTTTAATAAAATTATTGTCGCCTGAAAAGCGTATTATAGACGAAATTTTTATTTAATGATGAATTATGATTTTCTATTCCATTTTTATGTTACATTGAATTACATAAGTCGTCATAAGTTTGAATAATTGTAAATTTAAATTTCCAAGATAAATAGTAAATTTTGCGATGTTGCCATACTTGGACAACTTTCGGAATTTATAAAAACTAAACACTGATGATTTAAATTTTTTTGCTCCTCGATGTTCAACAAATCAATAATTAATAATATTTGCTTTGATTTATTGTGTTCAGAATTAATTTTTCATGAAATTAATTCGATTTTATTTAATTAAAAGTTAAACTTGGTTATGCAATAATGGCCCGAAAATAGTTTTGGCAACGCCGCCCTGAATCATGTTTGCGTAACATAACCTCACCTTTTTAAAAATGTCAACAAACAGTAAACACTTTAGTTTAATTTTTTAATAATTGTTTTAAGGGAAAATGTATTTAATAATATGGTCAAACCAAGTGAAAAGTTACATTTTAAAACTACTGACGACAAAAATGTAGTTCTGAATGTAATGAAAAGCCCTGCTTGCTTGTGTATTTCTATAATAAATGATTGGAAGATGTTTTCCAGTAACGAAGCCCTTTCAATTGGAATTTTTGCCATAATTTTGCGTTGTTTTAGCGTAGACATGGTTTATGTTGCCGCTTTACTTGTTTCCTATTTGTTATACGCTTCAAATCAAATATTATTTTGTATTAGGGAAGGTAAGTGATGATTAATTCTGCAATTTATGATTCTAGTTGTAAAGAAAGTAGGTGTTTTCTTCTTGTCTAGTGGCAATGTCTATTCTTTTGACGAATAAATACATTCATTGATTCATTTGGATGTTAAAAAAGCAGAAAATCATTATCCACTAGCCTACTTGATGTTTATTTGACAATAATGTTTCAACAACTTTTTTGAATTTGGTTTATTTTTCCACTTTCTTGCCTACTGTCCCCTAATTTTAACATAGGTACTTAGGTAAGGTAGACACTCGGGTAGACAAAACTTAAGAAACATTGTATATATTTTTTTCCCAAATTTCTGAGGGGAAGGTCACTTCATAAATAGGTGTACAAAATGAAAAGCTATATCTCAGAGCTACAATCAACCTTCTCGTGTCCACTGCTGGATATAGGTCTCCCTTATTTTTCTCCATGCATCCCAGTCCCGTGCTGTGCTGCCCTGCCTGCATCCAGTTGCTGTGACAACGTTTCAAATCGTCGGTCCATGTTGTTGGTGGACGGACTCAATTTCGGTAGGCTTCTTGTCTCGGCCTTCACTTTAATATTCGCCTTGTTCACCTGTTGTCCGTAATTCCACTTGAGGGTTGTTATTTTCTCTATTGCGTCCAAAACTCCTGTTCGGCGTCAAATTTCTTGGTTTGGAATTTGTTTTCTGAGAGAGATACTCAACATGACACATTCTATTGCCCTTTGTGCTAGGTAAATTTTGTGCACTGTTTTTTTTGTAAGTGTCAGGGTCTCTGCTCCATAGGTAAGAACTGGCAGCACGCATTGATTGAATGTTTTCTTTTTAAGGCTTACTGGGATTTCTGATTTGAAAACATAATTGAGTTTGCAGAAAGCTACCCAGGCCAATCTGATGTGGCGGTTTAGTTCGATGGTTTGGTTATCCCAAGAAATCTTGTGTCCTAGAGGTATTTGTAAGAAGTAGTCTTATCAATGGCTGCTCCAGCAATGTTTATGCTTTCGCTGAGTATTAGATTTGTCATAATTTGTGTTTTAAGACATATTTATTTTCAGTCCTACTTCTAGGGAGGAGCGGTGGAGTCTGTTCAGTAATTCTTTAGCTTCGTCTATTTGGTCCGTTATTTTATTTTTTTTTTCCTTTATTTCATTTCAACATGGTAGTTAAACATTATGTATGAACCTAAACTACACCATTTCAACCTCAATTTCGGAAAAAGTAACTTTTATTTAGGAAAATGTAAAGCCATTTTCGAAAAAAGTCAAATCAATTTCAGAAAAGTAAAGTTAATTTCGGAAAAAGTAAGTTCAAATTCGGAAAAAGTAAATTCAAATTCGGAAAAAGTGAATTCGAATTCGGAAAAAATGTATTCAATTACGGAGAAAGAAATGTTATTTTTTATAGAATAATTTGAATTGATTGAGTCATTTAGCTATGTAGAAAATCAAAAAATTTGTCTTATTCTGTTGGCTTCGTATGATTTTAATCTACCATTTTCAGATTTTAACCAGCTTAAAATAATCCAGGAGTCAGTCCAATATAATGTTCTGGAAATGCGATACCTAGTTTAGTTTCATTTATGATCATTTTGCCTAGACATGCTGCCAAAATTGCTCCTAGTAACTGCATTTTGGGGATTGTTAAAATTTTATTTAAAGGACCAAGTTTGCATTTTGAGGCAACAAATGAAAGCAACTTTTTTCTTCCAAATTTAATGTTAAAATAAGATAACATCAGCAACATAAGCTTTGTCACTATTCACTTGCATCTGAAAATATATGCATGTCAACTTCTTGGACATCGCAAACTTCAGAAAAATATTGGGATGTTCAAATTATTAACATTTTCAATATTTTTACACCATTTTTTCCATTTCTCAAAAACTTTATCAGGTAACTGGTAACTTTTCATTCCACTCTAAATTTTTTCTCCAATAATCTTGTTTTGTGGGAATGTCCTCACCAGCTATCCAAATTTTCAATAGTATATTACATACCGAGAAGGAAAGTGTTTCATTACTGTCGAGAGATTTATATAGTCAATCGAGACGCGAAGCGTCGAGTCGAGATTGACTATTAATCTCGAGACAGAAATGAAAACTTCCCTCCGAGGTTTGTATACTATTTTATTTGCAAGCACACCATTAATTATGATTAGTCATTCAATTTTTTTAATATTAAAAAAATACAACAAATATGCCAAAATATGTCATTCACCTGTTTTGACGTTTTTACCTGACATGTTCTCATTGTTGCCAGCAAAGGTAAATAAATTAGAGTGAGGGAAATCGGTGAGGGAAATCGAAGAGGGAAGTGACACAGGTAAAGTGTCACTTTCAAATTTTTAAAAAGTCAGTAATGTCGAGATTACATATATGGTTGCAAATAATAGTATATTACATACCGAGTAGGGAAGTGTTTTATTACTGTCGAGAGATTTATATAGTCAATCGAGACGCGAAGCGTCAAGATTGACTATTAATCTCGAGACATAAATGAAAACTTTCCTCCGAGGTTTGTATACTATTTTATTTGCAAGCACACCAATAATTAAAAATAAGTTATATCATTTTTTAATAATAAAAAAATAGAACAAACTTGCCAAAATGTGTCATTCACTGTTTTGACGTTTTTACCTGATATGTTCTCATTGTTGCCAGCAAAGGTAAATAAATTACAGTGAGGGAAATCGGTGAGGGAAGTTGAATAGGGAAATCGGTGAAGGAAATCGAAGAGGGAAGTGACACAGGTAAAGTGACACTTCCAAATTTTTAAAGTCAGTAATGTCAAGATTACATATATGATTGCAAATAAACACTTTTTTGAACTGGCACTGGAATATAAAATCATCATCTTCAGTGTTCCAGTATGAAACTAATATTTTGTCATTTTTCTTAGCTTCTTTTAAGATTGATTTTGAGTCCAGGTAATCATCAACATAATGTGGTCTTAACTCTTAGCATTATAAGTAATATATAATATCAGTATTGTTGGGGTTTTCGTTGATTTCGATTTTCGAAGGACCAGTCAAACAACTGGTTTGACAAAAACGATTTTATTCTTAATAAAAATGGGCCACAGAAATGGACTGTGAACGTGTGTTAACGATTTGACAAAGCCAACAATTTCCTAATAATGAAAAAAATCTGAAATTCAGTTAATAATTAACTGATTCAAGTTTTTCTTCGACTTTTTATGAGCACTTAAATAGCACCTAATTCTGATATAAAAAAAATTACTATAGGGGACTGCTAGCATTCATAAACCTAGCAGTCCCTTAGTTTTTCTTGATTTTCTCAAAAACTAAAGGAGCACCTAATTTTCAATTAGAGGCCCTAATTAGCACCTAAAAACCACCTAACTATTATATAGATCCCGAAGTTTTTTTCCATTCTGATCTCGATTCTGACACACCAACAAGTAAACGTAAAGCTAGCAGTCCCCTAATATCAAAAAAAAAAATCTGTAACTCAGTTAATAATTAATCAATTCTATTTTTTCTTCGACTATTTAAGAGCACCTAAAAAGCACCTAATTCTGATACCAAAAAAAATGTTGGAAAAATATTTTTTACTATAGGGGACTACTAGCTTTCATAAACCTAGCAATCCCTTGGTTTTTTTTTGATTTTCTCAAAAACTAGAGGAGCACCTAATTTTTAATTAGAGGCCCTAATTAGCACCTTAAAAGCACCTAATTATTACATAGATCCCGAAGTTTTTTTTCCATTCTGACACACCAACATGTAAACGTAAAGCCAGCAGACCCCTAATAATTAAAAAAAAAAATCTGTAACTCAGTGAATAATTAATCAATTCTATTTTTTCTTCGACTATTTAGGAGCACCTGAAAAGCACCTAATTCTGATACAAAAGAAAATTTTGGAAAAATATTTTTTACTATCAGCCAGTTTCATAATCAGACTTTAAAATGTACTTTAACTAAAGATAAAGTTTCACTTCAAGTCCACTTTAAAGAGAGCTAAAGTTGAGGTGTTTCATAATCGTATCCATCTGAACTTTTAACTAAAGTATAACCGATACTTTAGCCACTACCAAAAATTGACAGAACTGCAAAATTCCTCAATTTTTAAGGTTAGTTTTATGTTTTTCACTATTTTTTTTTTTTAGTGGGGGCAAGTGGTAATCAAAGTGCTATTGAGTGTTTATTATTTAATTTTCATCCCTGTTTTTTCTATGGCCAGTAATAAATCAAAAAGAGGTAATAATTTCTCCACAAAGGAGGAACTTCTTTTGTTGGATGAAATTGGGAAACATAGGAATGTGTTGGAAAACAAGCAGACCAATAATGTTTCTAGAAGTAGGCATCATAATCTCCACTTGAAAAAATAGCTATGAATTAAGTACGTACCATAATAAGATTACTTTCCTTTTCTCTAGAACGAAGCTTATTATCAACTCGATATGATTCGAATAACCTATACCCGAGGACGTTGAATTTTCTTCTTAAAAATATTTCTGGGTTCTCCTCATCAGATGAACTTGAACTTGGTAAAGATGATATTCCTTTTCCTTGGTACCGGTTCATAACGTCCACAGTTTATTGAAATTCAAAACAGACAAAACAAAATATTGAGAAATTAGCAAATTAGCGACTTGGTGCGAATTTGAAGTTAGATAGCACTTTAAAGTTGAATAAAAGTCTGGAAATCGGCCCTTTAACTTAAAGTGGATTCAAAGTGACATTAAAGTATTATGAAACACCAACATTTTTTAAAGTAGCATTTAACTTTTAAAGTCTGATTATGAAACTGGCTGTAAGGGACCTTTAGCTTTCATAAACCTAGCAATGCCTTAGTTTTTTTTTGATTCTCTCAAAAACTAGAGGAGCACCTAATTTTTGATTAGAGGCCCTAATTGGCACCTAAAAAGCACCTAATTATTATATAGATCCCGAAGTTTTTTTGCTATTCTGAAACACCAACATGTAAACGTAAAGCCAGCAGTCCCCTTATAATTAAAAAATAATCTGTAACTCGGTTAATAATTAATCAATTCTATTTTTTCTTGGACTATTTAGGAGCACCTAATTCTGATACCAAAGAAAATTTTGGAAAAATATTTTTTTCTACAAACGTCATTAGAAGTGTCATTTTTAACGCATGATGTCAGTGTCTAAAATGCCATTTTATGACACTGGTATTAAAAGTAATTACTTTTAGCACTAGTGCTAAAAGTGATCACTTTTAGTGCGTTTGTAGAAAAAATAGTGTATGATATTCGTGCTAAAAGTAATTTTATTTTGTTCAAAGGGTTGGAACACTCCGCCTTCGGCGTCGTGTTCCAAACTTTCCTTTTTACAAAATAAAATGTCACTTTTAGCACTTAAGCACTTATATCATAAATAACTATTTACTATAGGAGACTACTAGCTTTCATAAACCTAGCAATCCCTTGGTTTTTTTTGATTTTCTCAAAAACTAGAGGAGCACCTAATTTTTAATTAGAGACCCTAATTAGCACCTAAAAAGCACCTAATTATTATATAGATCCCGAAGTTTTTTTGCCATTCTCAAACACCAACATGTAAACGGAAAGCCAGCAGTCCCCTAATAATTAAGAAAAAATCTGTAACTCAGTTGATAATTAATCAATTCAATTTTTTCTTGGACTATTTAGGAGCACCCAAAAAGCGCCTAATTCTGATACGAAGAAAAAATTTGAAAGAATATTTTTTATTATAGGGGACTGCTAGCTTTTATAAACCTAGCAGTCCCTTAGTTTTTTTTTTTTGATTTTCTCAAAAACTAAAGGAGCACCTAATTTTTAAATAGAGGCCCTAATTAGCACCTAAAAAGCACCTAATTATTATATAGTTCTCAAAGTTTTTTTCCACCTTGGGGCGTGAGCACGTAAAGGTTGGAATAAAATCTATAAAATATACAGGATGGATATTTTTCAAAAAACCTCGGACACGTCAATTTTTGATTTTATTGGCTGTTTTTTTGATGATAATACCATACCTATATACAGAGGAACCAAAAACAAGTTATGACAGTTAACTTAATTTTTTCAAATGAAAACACACATTTTTTATTTCATTTTTAAATTCTACGTTAAATTCTGAACATATTTCATGTATCATGTGCTATACCTATCATCAACTGTTTCGGAAATATTGACAGTTGAAAATTGACTTTTTTGCAACTTTGACAGACTGTAGAACCTAAACAGTTAATTTTAGAGCAAAACCGATCATACATTCTTTTCTTAGTTTTCCATAAACTATCATTTGACACTAACTTTGAATTTAATTCATAGTTAAAAATTTCGGCTAAATTTAATATCCGGTTAAATTCAAAGTTGGTGTCAAATGATATTTTATGAATATCTAAGATAAGAATGTAAAATCGATTTTCCTCTAAATTTAACCGTTTAGGTCCTACAGCCTGTCAAAGTTGCAAAAAAGTCAGTTTTCAACTGTCAATATTTCCGAAACAGAATTTAATGAAAAATCTAAAAATTAAATAAAAAATTGGTGTTTTCATTTAAAAAAATAAAGTTAGCTGTCATAACTTGTTTTTGGGTCACCCTGTATATATGGTATTATCATCAAAAAAACGGCCAATAAAATCAAAATTTGACGTGTCCGAGGTTTTTTGAAAAATATCCACCCTGTATTTTTTATAGATTTTATTCCAACCTTTACGTGCTCACTGTTTATAAATCGTGCATATATAAGTGAAAATCGTGCGGAAAAGTAAAAATCGTGCGGAAAAGTAAAATCGTGCGGAAAAGTGAAATCGTGCGGAAAAGTACAACTTTCAAAACGAAAAATCGTGTAAAAAAGTAACTTCTCCGCACGCTCGTAGGAAAAAATATAATCGTTGGTATAATATATTTCAATCGTAATCAACATCATCACTACTTGTATAAATCTTCTTGTAAATAACCTCAAAACTGCTTTTCTTAGAAATAATGTCTTCATTTTCTTCTTCATCGATATCAAGCATCTGAAATTCAAGATCTAGATCATGTTTATATTGAGGCTCTTTAACATAAAAATCTGAATAGTCGTTTAGCTTTGGATCATCATCACCAAGACCTGCAAAATATCGATCATATATTTTTAAGTCTTTAAAGTAACTTCTAGCCAATGCATGTTTATTGAAAATATGGTTGATGAATTGTTCTTCATAAAATTCCTCTAATACTGGTATTTTTAAATGGGCTCTAGCTTCTTCTAGGATCAACAAGATACAGTTCCACGGAGCCCAGTCTTTATCCTTGTCCCATCTCACCAAAAGTAATTGATCAATGTCGTTGCATTCTGATATAGCTGAACGACAATTCCAAATAGTGTTTACAATCAAATATAAATCAATTTCTTTTACAATAAATGCAACAGATGAAGTTCCATCATGCAAACGTTCGTAATTTCTGATGTGTTTTATCATATATTTATAGGGACTGAGATCAATCCAAGGTTCCTCCGCTTTATTCAACCTCTTGCAGGTGGCGCAACTTTTAAATTTGTCCAACCTGGCATGCATAGTGAAAGCCTCTAAGGGTTTTAATCTTTGGCAACTCTCGCAGTAAATCAAATGTTTGGTTGAATGTTCCACTGTTAGCTTCTGCATGCGGTTTGTTACACCCTCGTTGCACTCTTGAAGTTCGAAATGATGTAAGACTAAGGTTCTGATTCGTTTTCTTAAAGCCGCAAAAAAATTATCATGCAAGCCAATTTTCATTAATTCAAATAATCTATCTATCAATGCAACTATTTCTCGGCCCTCTGTACACTGATGTGTTTTAAGATACTCTTTAGTTTTCGAAAATATTTCAATTATTTCATTCTTTGATAAATTCTTCTTCTTTAAAGCCTTATATAAACTAAAATATTCTCGGCCTTTTTGGGTTTCTAAAGTGTCCATACTTATGTGAATATGTTTGTAGTCACTGTCCCATTCAATTGGTCTGCCAATTGCTTTGAAAAAATCGTTTATTTTTTTGACTTTAAGATCTTCTTTAATTTCGGATTTAAGGCGCTCTAAGGCCTGAAGGATTTCCATTTCTTTGTCAAATAGAAGTACGTATTCTGCTTTTTTAGCGGCGCCACATGACCCCAAAGCGATCTTTTCGAGCTCTATTTCCTTCCAGCGATTCACCATACTAAATAGCATGCTAAAATCTTCACTTCTTAAGGGAAAAACTTTACTGGCAAGATCTTTTCTTTTCCTCTCTTGGTTTTCTTGTAGTTCTTTTTCGAAACGTTCCTTCTCAATCCTTAGTCTTTTATGAAATTCTGCGCTTATCAGTTTTAACTGCTTTTTTGTCTTCCATGCTCTGAAAGATCTCTGAATAAGTTTTACTTTTTCTTCAATGGCTAGTCTTATGTTTCGTGCCTCGGGAGTTTCATAAGGGCCAGGAATCAGTAATTTATCACAGATAGATGGTATGAAGATTTCTTTAGTAAGCTGCAATCTATCTTTAGTGGTAGGAATCAATGTGGATTTTGAACAATCTGTATTGACTCTCCTATTTCGCTTGAAATAAGTTTGAGTATCTCGATGAAACTTTTCCTTAGCAGGTTGTTTGATTAAAGGGCCGGTTTGCGAATACCCATGATGATATTCAGTGCCACCGATTGCATCTCGGTAACCACCCAGATGAGGCTTACAGATAGACTTTTTCTCTATTTTCACCTCTATATTTTCAATTCCACTAGGCTTTTCCACTCTTACAATTAATTTGTCTGGCATTTTGAATTCGTTGGATAAATTCATAGTGGGGATTTTAAAATTTGCATCCTTACTTATCAGCTCGAACTCCAAAATACCATAATTATTAGGCGGGAACTCTTCCAGTGTTGTCTCATAGTTTGTTATGTTCATTTGGCCAAACATTAAATCAATAGCATTTTCGGGACAGTTGAATTTTTTGGATAGGTGCCTCTTAACTTGGTGTATGTTAAATGAAGCAGAAATTGATTCCGTGAAAACTCTACCGTCAGTTGTATAGAATTTGACTGTGCGTTTTTCCAGGAACTTTTCGAAATCCATTTTTTATAATAATTTTTTGACAAAATAACTGTCACGTTTATACCTATTAAGTATCTATCGAGAATCCGATGTCCAAAGGTGAAGGTGAAATTTATCACCTTTCAGTACTATTTGATAGGGAAAGGTGATAAATTTACCTTTACCTTTGGACTACAGATTGTAGGAGGTATTTTAATCAGGCTCACACAATTCACATTTATAATTTGATATTTTTCAACTTTTTTACCATGAAATCGTGTAAGCAAAAGTAGTGAATATGGTTTTTTTGACATTTATATGTAAAATGAGATACAATTTTATAAAGGCCGGGATGTTGAAACTACACCAATGAACACGCGACTCTGATAAATTATTTGCTCAAGAAAAATACTACTTTCTTTCAAAAATCTGACATTTTTCATTTTTCTCACGAACCAGCTACTGGTTTCGGCAATCAAAGGTTGGCTAAGGAAGAGGCTACACACTGAGACTTTAGTCGACCAAATTATTTCACATTTTAATTAGCAAAGACAGAAGCGAATGTCTGTTTACGCTTCTGGTTTAACCAGAAATTACCTGAACTTCTCATTTCCAAATGGTAAAAAGAAGGTTAAAAAATACAAAAATTATATATACTTGAGTTGAGTGCAAGTGTGACTCGAAATTATGATGAAATTGTATGTTTTAGAAGAAGTTTTAATAGTCAAAGGATTAGGATACCAAATAAAAAGGAAATATTTCCTGAAAAATACCTCAATTTTTATTCCATATGAACAAGTACAAAATGTTTTTATTAATGAAGTAATTTTAAGGGTAAGTTATCAAAAAACACAATTCCTAATTAACAATTTTTAACTAAATTATATTTTTTAGCATAAAGTAATTTATATATTAAACTTTCTAGTCAAAGGAGATGAGGAGAAAAGGCCTAAAATAGTTCCATTGTTTAGAGTGAGTAAAAATCGAAACTTATATTAATAATTATTACATCTCTATTTTTGCAGGATATACTACCAAGGCTTGACTGTCTAGAAGTAATTTTTAGAAATATCAAATATTTCCAAGATAGATAACAGTAGCTTTCAGAAAATCATAACTTTCTGAAGACTGCATTTATGTATAAAATTACCCAATTATAAATAAATCAATACCAATCGATGAAATTATTTATTTATTTCAATAAATTACAAGTCAAATATTGTTTGATAGTCCTGCTTTATCTACACTTTACATACTAATAATTATTATACACTATAATCGTACACCTATTTATAGTATTTTATTTCATCTACTATTTTTGATATGGGACACTTCCGTTTTTGTTCCTCTATATTTAACAGCATTATGAGTTCCTTACAGTCTTCAGTTGCTTCTTCCTGAAACAGTGATACTTTGAGTTTTATGGTATTTGATCCCGATTTATTCAATTTTTCAATTCTGATCTTTGAAAGCCATCACTATGAAGTTATTAATTAAAATCATAATAATTTATTTTGAGGAGTAGGTATATCTATCACAACGAGTATCACAATTATTGTTTCATCCTGAACCCTATCTTCTATGCAATCCAAGTATTAGTAGTATTTGGTATAAATACATAGTTACACTTGTATCTTTCAATGACAACCCCCATCTACAAGAACATTTTTTAAAACTGTGTAAAAAAAAAATAGCCAAGCTCCCAAGAAAGAACTTCCTAGTAAAGCGAATTAGTTATCCATGGAACAGCCTTGCAAATTCTACAGTAAGTAACTGCACATAGTTTGGATTCATTTAAAAATAAAGTCGATATTGATATGTATTTTGTCTTGTTTCTTTCCCTTTCAATAATTTTCGAAAACTTTTTATTCTTAGACAAGGTTTTTATTAGTATGATTAGTCTATTTATTATAGTTTTTTACAGTAGACTCAAAGTACTTTTTAGATGCTTGCCAATCTGTCTTAGAAATCTTTCCTGAATTTCTTTACATTTAATATCGAGTTTAATACCTACTATTAGTCTATCCCGCATCATTCTTTCTTCATAAATCATATGACTCTAGGCATGAGTCTTTGCTGCTATAAAAGTTACACAATTTCGCTAGAGTAAGGTATATTGAACGGTTAACAAGTGACTAGGAAGGGAATAAAAGTAGATATATTTTGTTCATAAACGAATGTGGAACAGTGAAACTTTCTTCATGGTATGAAGTTATCCAAGTAGGTACAAGGACTTAAGGTGAAATTTAAACTTGATTCTGGTTCGGACACTAGTATCCTACCATTCAGCATTTTTGAAAGATTGTTTAAGATTTCACTTGATGAAAAGCGTAGATAGTTTACAGATATTTAAAACCAAGGATGGATGAAATATACACAAAATACAGGGATATTTTTAAGGGTTCAAGGGAAATTCCAGGATTTTGCAGTATTGAATTGCAGGAAGTTGCTAATAATCTGTAATCCAGTGCAACAGAAAAGTTCTTTTTTCTATTTTTGAAAGAGTGAATTATTCTACAGATTGGGTTAACAGCCTTATGATAACTGAAAACCAAGATAAATCACTAAGAATTTGTATTGATCCTAAATTTTTGAAAAAAAAAAACATATAAAGAGAGAGCATTTTTTGATACCAACTGCTCACTATTGTGCTAATGATGATAATGATAATAATACTCAAAACACAACAAAAACAAATGAAATTCGACTTGAACAGGTGAAGGCTGCAATACACGAGGCTCAGAGTGCTGTGAAGGTTTGTGAGATTCAGAACCTAACAAGGGAGTTGGATGAGAACAAGGATGATGCACGTGGATGGCAACATGTTAGACGAATACGTTTCATAGTTGGAAGAAATGAAAGCGCCAATGGTGTGTAGACAGTACCGAAGTTTTTATCGCTTCACGTATCTAGGCTAAGACCTAATACGAAGCCTGAGGGACGTCAAACAAATATTAACTGCTAATTTTCCAGGAGTTATTTGTATGATATTTATGATAAATACTTTAATGATCTTCAAGACATTCTAGATAATGGCTGTGATATCTTGATAGTAGGTGATATGAACATACCTAATTTTGATTATTTTGAGTCTGATAATAATTATGATTAGAGTGTTTTAATGAAAAGTTTTCTTAGTCTCAATAACCTACAAGAAAACTGGATTATGCACTGTCCAATATAAATGTTGTCCATGTTTCTCAAGCTGATGCGTTTGTTCAAGAAGACCTGTACCCTTTACCATCTAAGTCTTTCACTAAGTCTGTGCTATGAGTTTCGTCCATGTCCATGTTATGTGTCGTCTGGCATGTCCAAGGGCTTGCACGTATGACTATGCCAAGGGTAACTTCCTCCTCTTATACAGATTGATCCAATCCAGTGAATGGTCCATGATTGAAGGACTCTCTGATTCTGATTCATGTGTTGATGCTTTTTATGACATCTTGATTTCTTGTATTAATCAGTTGATCTCAGAAAGGCAGTTGTGGCTTTGAAGGAAGGCACATGTAAATATCGAAAGTGGTTCTCTATCAAACTGATACGTAACATCAGATACAAAAATATACTGCACGGAGTAGTTATGAAGAATCAAGCAAGGAACCTTCAGTGCATGTTCAACACAAGACTCTTAGAGATGCAGTCAAGAAACAGACTGCCCATGAGTATCATCTACACCAATTGTCACTAGAGCAAAATGTTAAAATGATCCTAACAGCTTCTGGGGTTTTATACGCTCAAAAACCAAAAACAGGGGCAGATCATTGACAGGGACATACCTAATGAGATGTCCTGGAACGATCAGGTTTATCAGACACCTGCAGACATCTCTAATGGCTTTGCATGCTACTTTTCATCCGTATAATATGAGCCTTCATATCAAAATCTAACCAACGAGGAAGACTGGTGCTCTGCTTGGGATGACTTTCAGTTTCCTGTGATAAGTGTCGAAATGGTTGACTCCGAAGGGTGATGCCAATTTCAAGTTGCGCAGTTTTGCTTATAAACCAATTTATTTCCTATGTAAAATTCTGTTAAGAGAATATTCTAGTAAGTAGACATAATGAACTAGCTGAGGAACTTTTGGAGAACATGAGTGGAATAGAAACTGTCCAAAAGATTGATGAATCTGTGCCTGATATTCCTTGATTACTTAAAAATTCTACTAGCTCAAACAATCGAAACAGATACGATGATGTTGAAAAAAATCACTGTAAAATACATATGGTATGCATGAAGAAAGAAACTAAGAAATTTGGCATTACAAAAGATATGCGATATACTGATTTGATTTGATTTAACTTGTTTAAAAAATCGAAACAATCCCGGAAGATACAGAGCTACTCCATTCTTTGCCAGTTTCAGATTGCGAGTGGTACCACTGCAGCATTGAAAAAAAATTAGGAATAATATGTACAAGACACCACAAATATTTAAACAAATATGCATACCTACTCGTTTCCTAAAACCAGGAATAAAAATGCCAGAACAAAAATTACCACCCAAAGAAGAAATTGTCAATTTGAATTTATTCAAAGCTACAGTTGAAGGAACTTTACAAAATATCATAGAGAATATGAGACAATTTGGTCTCTGAGAGTTCGATCTCAATGCTAAAGAAACCGATTGGAAATATATGCAGGTCAATGCAGGTACCTTCTAATAAACCAAACACAAAATATCGGATATAGGCGACATTGAAGTTGACAAAAACCCCAAAGAAAATGGAGATGACCAAGATGAGGCAAACACAAATAATGTTACTAATGAGGATGATAATAGGTCTGTTTCCACAGAAATCACAAACCAGTCAAATCATTTTTGATTGGTTCAAATTGCCAACAACCAGTTTCCAGACTATTTTCAACTAATGAAATTCACTCTGACTGGTTTGTGATTTCTGTGAAAACACACCTATAGTCACGGACTTTATTTCAAAAAAGAATTATATGAAGATCGCGAATGTGATACTTTGGAAACAATTTTTTATAGGCAGTACAAGGAAAATACGTCGGAAAACATTGAAGAAATCACCTTCCAAAAATTCCGACCTTCACTATGAAAAAGACTAAACCTCCGACTAAACAGAAGCTACCCATGTAAACACATTTTTTTTTTGTTTCTCACAGATTTTTTACTGACTTCTTTATTTTAACATGTAATACTGCATACATGTAGATATTCTGGATTTATTTTACATAATTATGTGACCAAATTTATGTGATAGATTTGGTGAATTAGTAAGAAATTAGTTGGGAATTAAAATGTGTTTTTTTTTTTAAAGATAAAAGTCAAAATGACATTATGTTGGCAATACAATGTAAAATTGTCAATGCTTTCAAATTTTTAATGTAGAAAAGGCTTGTGTTGCCAACATAGTTACTAAATTTTTGACATGGGAAATTATCTTTAAAAAAAAATAGACTCTAGTAAAATTAGGAGAATTAGTTTGGGAAATAGAAATATTAGCCTTAACGGCAAGTATTCCCTAAACTGACAGTTTTCCATGGAGAAATGTCAGTTTAGGGAATACTTATCGTTAGGGCTTGGGCTTCCCTAAAATTGTTGGTGGAAACGGCTATTAGTTACCATCCTGGGAATCCCACTCATCAAATTGTCATACATGGCAACACTTATGAAATACTAGCTGACCCGGCGAACTTCGTACCGCCTCTGAATTATTAAATATACCTATTAAATGTTGTGTTAATGTAGCTATTAGCTGAATTAAATTCAGTTTTTTTCGATGGTGAATTTGGCTTTGGTTGAAGAAAATTAATGTTTACTCTCTGGATCAGAAGTCACCTAAAATTAAAATTTTACATCATCCTTTTTTAGGCAGCTTGTGGGCATTATTCTTGTAAAGTGTACCACCAAATAAATAAACTCAGGCACAGGAATGTTCAAAGAATGTAAAGAAAACAAAAAAAATCTCTAGCGCAGCCCTGTTTCACTCTATCTGCACTGCATGCACTGCACTACTCCATCTGTTCTACTCTATCTGCACTACTCTATCTGATCTACTCTTTCTGCACCACTCTATCTGATCGGAATAGTGGAATAGTTCTGTTCGAAATAGCTCCAGTTCCTGAGCACATTATAAGAGATGGCGCCGTATGCGGGCTTAGCAATTTTTTTTCATAAATAAATAAAATAAGTAATGAAATGACCACATTAATCACATAACAACATGCTGATACTGTCAACGCTGAAAAAAGTTTCAATTTGACAGAAAAATCCCCATTAACAAAATGATCCTCCATTTATTGAATAATTCATTTATTACAAAAAATGTGATAAATGCGAAGAACCGCTCGACCGATTCTGTGCAAACTTCACATAAACCATCTAATAAATAGTCCGAACAAAGCCTAAACATTTGGTTTGGCTAGGTGAGCCC